CCCCACTACATTTAAGCAGGCTAGGGTAACCCCACTGCTAAAGAAACCCAACCTGGACCATACGCTACTTGAAAACTACAGACCAGTATCCCTGCTTCCATTCATGGCCAAGATTCTGGAGAAAGTAGTGTTCAATCAAGTCCTGGACTTTCTTACTCAAAACAATCTCATGGACAACAAGCAATCCGGCTTTAAGAAAGGCCACTCAACTGAGACTGCCCTGCTCTCGGTCGTGGAGGATCTCAGACTGGCTAAAGCAGACTCTAAATCATCAGTCCTCATTTTGCTGGACTTGTCAGCTGCTTTTGACACTGTCAACCACCAGATCCTGCTATCTACGCTTGAGTCACTGGGCGTTGCGGGCACTGTTATACAATGGTTCAGATCTTACCTCTCTGACAGGTCATTCAGGGTGTCTTGGAGAGGAGAGGTGTCCAACCTACAGCATCTAAACACTGGGGTACCTCAAGGCTCTGTTCTTGGGCCACTTCTCTTCTCCATCTACACATCATCTCTAGGACCAGTCATCCAGAGACATGGATTCTCCTACCACTGCTATGCTGATGATACCCAGCTATACCGCTCTTTTCTCGCAAAAACGGAAATGCTTGTAGTTTCTGCCAACCCGACTCTACACCATAACTTTTCAATCCAGATGGATGGGGCAACCATTACTGCATCCAAAATGGTGAAAAGCCTTGGAGTAACGATTGATGACCAACTAAACTTCTCTGACCACATTTCTAGAACTGCTCGATCGTGCAGATTTGCACTCTATAACATCAGAAAGATCCGACCCTTCTTATCTGAACATGCAGCTCAACTCCTTGTTCAAGCTCTTGTTCTCTCCAAGCTGGATTACTGCAACTCTCTACTAGCTGGGCTTCCAGCTAACTCTATCAAGCCTCTTCAACTGCTCCAGAATGCAGCAGCACGAGTTGTCTTCAATGAACCTAAACGAGCACATGTCACTCCGCTGCTAGTCCGTTTGCACTGGCTGCCAGTTGCTGCTCGCATCAAATTCAAAACTCTGTTGTTTGCCTACAAAGTGACTTCTGGCCTAGCACCTTCTTATCTGCACTCACTTCTGCAGATCTATGTGCCCTCCAGAAACTTGCGTTCTGTGAATGAACGTCGCCTCGTGGTTCCATCCCAAAGAGGGAAAAAATCACTTTCGCGAACGCTCACGCTCAATCTGCCCAGTTGGTGGAATGAACTCCCTAACTGCATCAGAACAGCAGAGTCACTCGCTACTTTCAAGAAACGACTAAAAACTCAACTATTTAGTCTCCACTTCACTTCCTAATCTGCAATTGCTTCTGAATATCACACTAACTGTACAAAAAAAAAAAAAAAACTACTAACACTTCCCTTCTTAGACTTTACAGACCTGAAACTTGCCTACAGCACTTCTTCATTGTTGCTCTTAGTTGTGTAAATTGCTTCCTTGTCCTCATTTGTAAGTCGCTTTGGATAAAAGCGTCTGCTAAATGACTAAATGTAAATGTAAATGTACTGTCATGAAGCTTAACAGGTATGAAAGTCGTGCAATTTACAAAAATGAGCAATAAAAGTCTGTTATTGATCCTCTGCTGCTGATTTGCTGTTCATTCTAATCGCGAGCCGTTTGTGTTTTATTTCGTGTGTTGTTTTCACCACGGTTTGTGTTTTTCTGTCATTTCGAAATGACACTAGCCTGTATTTTCACTTTGTCACAGTTATTAAATCAGTGTCAGTGGCACAGTACAGGCTACGTGTGTGTGTCAAACATTTTGGTGAATTACATTTGTCTGGGCTGGTTATATATTTGAAATAAAGAGGAAATGTTGACTTTGGCGATGACGAGGCTTCATTTAAACTGCAGAAGATGCCGTCTGACAACGAGGGGAAAACGCCTCACAGCAGCTGTTTTCCATCCTATTAGATCACATTTCTTTAAATGATCAGTCCAGGAGATGCTGCTGATGGACAACAGTATTAGTTCAAAGAGGATAAAAGCAGGTAAAATAGATTAAAACTATCGTTTCAAAGCTGTCCAAATGAGACTGTTTACACGCATCAGCTGTCGACCGGAAGTTCTTCGCATTCTCCTTGCGCATACACGCAAAGCATAATGGGTAATTTTGCGTTCCAAGAAAAAGGTCTATAGCGATAGTTCTACCAGGAAGACCTAGTTGTTTCTCAATATGCGTTCTCGTCTGTACTTGCGTTCTTGTGTCCTCGTGAAACGTCATCAACCGTCGCCAAAGTACTGTTCCAATTCAAAGTTCACATCTTTCCAAGTGCACATGAAATTCCCGGATGTGTACTTGCTCTGCCCCTTTGGCCAAGGATGCATCGAGAGGTGACTTGTGTGAACTTGCGAAACTCAGGTATTCCAGAATGCATTGCAGCATAACCAGCAAGCGCTAATGGCGGAGGAGGAAACCCGCACGGTTTTAAAAATAATCCTTTACTGTGTCACAAAATAAAGTTTTAAGAGTTTTTCAGGCGAGAATGTAGCTGTTTTAAACTCAAATCGGCAGTTTATTCACAAAGATAGCGCTTCTTTAACGATGTGGCTCAGCTTATGCGGACTCCGACTCCCAGCCTGCCAGCGGGAGCTCCGTCATCAGCTCCCCCGCCCAGAGCAGCTTTACTTAAGCCAGACCATCTAGGACGTACCGCTGGATCTCATCTCTTCATTGTAGTTAAAACATGATATTTAATACATCTTGTGAACATCTAAAGGACAGTTTTTGGTCTTATAAATCTATTATTTGTTCTCGGGTGTATTATTTTGGCAGTGTTATTTTGTTACCTTTTGTAATTGTCTTTAATTATGTTATGGTGTTGTACGCTGTTTGTCCTTGATTACCAAATTGCTTGACGTAATCTTTATTTCTTATCGTGTATGTCTTTATTTCCTATTGTGTGTATAATTACCATTGTAGTTTAATAAATCTGATAATCAAAGACTCGTGTCTGTGTATAATAACTCATTTTAATTCACATTTTTATGAATATATGTGTACATTTTCTTAAATCAAAAATGTAGATTTATAATATTAATATAATATTAATTAAATCCTTTTATTGTTAATGTACAGTGAAACCGATAAATCCATGGTGAGGTAAGAGACGTTATGAAGTACACTGCTGTTACATTTGAAGAAATACCCGACTTGTGTCCTCGCGTCCTCGGGAGTTCGTTCTTCCAAGTCTGAACTTGTCAAGTCTGAACTTCCAAGGATGCAAGTCCGAACTTGGCGTACTTGGTATTGAGAAACAGCCCTAATGTCACGTCACTCATCACAATCAGTTCCACCCAATAGCCATGAGGCACAAGGAATATACAAGCTGCCTATTCATTTCATTTATTTGGTTGCAGGCACTGATGCAGACGTTCACCCACCGTCCTCCTCACCACCACCAGGTTGGCCCTGTCCAGGGGGGGAGGCTCCGCCCCTGCCTTCATCCTCTGCAGACATAGCCGGATTGAAAAGCTTCCAAACCAAGCTACGAGCAGGGCTTCCGCCAAAGAAATCCCATGTTTCGTGATACTCTTGTCTAATAATACTCATCAACAAAATATAATTCAGTATCATAATTACCATTTCTATTTATCCCTCTAAACAGGTTAAGAGTCTGGGTGTCATCCTTGACAGCACTCTATCCTTTGATTCTCACATCAATAACATCACCCATTCTGCTTACTTCCACCTACGCAACATTAACCGTCTCCGCACTTCTCTTACCCCTCATCCCACTGCTGTTCTCGTTCATAGCCTTGTCACATCTCGATTAGATTACTGCAACTCTCTTCTCTTTGGTCTCACTCATAAATCTCTCCGTAAGCTTCAGTTGGTCCAGAACTCAGCTGCCCGTATCATCACCAGAACCCCTTCTTCTCGTCACATCACCCCTGTCCTGCAGCAGCTTCATTGGTTACCTGTTCATTTTCCAACTGACTTTAAAATCTTGATGTTAACATTCAAAGCCATCCACAATCTCGCCCCTCCATATTTGTCTGCCCTCATCCACATTTCTGTTCCTTCTCGCACCCTGCGATCTTCTTCCTCCCTCCACTTGTCTGTTCCCTCTTCTCGCCTTTCAATAATGGGCAACAGAGCATTAAGCCGCTCTGCTGCGCGGCTTTGGAACTCACTACCACCTGCCATCAGAAACATCGACTCCCTCACACTGCTCAAATCAAGACTCAAAACCCACTTATTTAAGATGGCTTTTAATACTTCATTTTATTTGCACTATTGCTGTGTATATTTTATTATTTCTCTTGTTGGTTTATTATTCATGTTGATTGTACGGTGTCCTTGAGTTGCTAGAAAGGCGCCTTTAAATAAAATGTATTATTATCATTATTATTGTAATAATCACCCTGGTCTTTCTGGTAGAACTTCCAATTCAGTCGCCTATGGGAAATAATAAACCTCAGAAAACTGACAAACTACTTGCTCTATAAACAAGTGGTTGCATGATTATTCAAACAAAGCAGTATCAATAATAAGAAAACGTCAGTTTGCAACATCAAGCAGCAGGACGAGCTGTTTTTAACGTCTAAAAACATATGGAAGTGAATGAGACCGGAAGTCTCAAGCTGAAAAGATTCAAACGGTAATAGTTATAAATCATTATAAATCCTTAAAATACCGTTAACATGTTATTTATAACTTGTTAACTAACAGCTTATAAATAACAAACAAACTATTAACTTTCATTTAGCTAGTCATTTATAACTCATTAACTAACAGTTTATTAATGACCTATTAAGTAGTCATAACGGATAGTTATTCTGAAGGGTTCCCAAACGTACATACAACCCCTTAATTGTACAGCACATGTTGTCCTCTTTAACAGCAGACAGTGCTTTGAGATCTCAGAGAAAAAAATAAGCCCCTCGTAATGAAAATAAATGCTGATATTCTGCATAATGCATGCCCTAAACAAAGCTGAAGGCAATCCAAATGAATGCTAGACAGTGATCAGTTTGGATTTCTCACCAGTATCTTGGTGGTGTAGGCGCTGTTGAGGGATATGGCGTTGACCAGTATGTCCAGGGTTTTGGACGGCAAGGATGTGGGCTCCGGGATGGTCTTATAATGGACATCGGCCACATACACCTGTACTGCGGTCATCCGGTTGGTGGTCAGAGTGCCGGTTTTGTCTGAGCAGATCGCTGTGGCGTTGCCCATGGTCTCGCAAGCGTCCAGATGGCGAACCAAATTGTTATCCTTCATCATTTTCTACAGGCACAGACAAAAAAATGTGTGTTAGTCACATCTGCAGAGAGTTTTGTCTTGCTTCTAGTCCAAATATCTCAAAATTCTTAAATCAAGAAGCATTTTCTAGACAAACAAAAATATAGTGTTGTTTTCGGAAATAATGAGTCAAAATTAACTGAGGTTTTCATTAAAATAAGCAAAATAATCTGCAAGTGGGGTAAGAGAAGTAAACTTGTTTTCTCTTCGACATAAGATTATTTCACTTACCCCATTGGCAGATTATTTAGCTTGTTTAATGAAGAACTCACTTAATTTTGGCTCATTGAGCCCTATAATGCACCCGGCGCAGTGTGGCGCAAAGCGCAATACTTGTTTGCTAGTTTCAGCTTGGCGCAAGAGTTGTTTTGAGGCGTTGCGCTACGCTGTTTAAATAGCAAATGCATTTGCGATCATATGTGCGCCCATAGGCGTTCTAGTCTAAAAAGGAAGGCATGCTGAGGCGCACTGCTGGCGCATTGCTATTTTGAGAAGCTATATTAGATTTTTCAATAGGCCAAAACAAACCCGGTCTAAAATCCAGCACAGAGTTGCACCTCGCTTACACACTGTTTAATACACACAAGATGTAGAGCAAAATGCAAATATCTTTACATATGAAAAAAATTAAAATATTAAGGATATATATAGGATATAATAAGAAAATATATACATATAAAAGATATAAATATAAAGGATTAAAATATTACAAAACATATTATTTTCTAGCCTACATAAATATAAAAACCCCTGCCTTCATGTCTTCTTCATCTCGGGAGGCTTTTTCAGTTCATTCATAACAATTTGCTTTTGTATAATGTTATTATTATTAGCAGTATTATTTATTATATCCACATTTATATTTGTTTTATTAAAAACAAGCTTAGATTTGGCCACCTGCAGGTTTTAGACCATAAGGAGCACAGCATGTGTATTTGGAAATAATTCAGTATTTTGAGCACACTTCATTATTATTGTTCATTTATTTGTTTGCTGGAAATTAGAACTGGATTTAGAAACAGTTTTGAAACAAATATTTGTGCTTAACAAACTAAATTAATTATGTATAGGCAAATGGATGTCTGTGCGTAAAGGTTTCCCTGTCCACGAGAGCGAAAGTAAAAGTAGATCCATTATCTCTCATTCTCACGCAGTAGATGCTCTGTTTAACTGTTTTCTTGCTAGTGAAATGTTCAGTTTTTTCACCTACACTTATTTTACGTCCTGTAAATAGTGAATGCGCTTATGGCGTGACGCAGCTGGCTCTTAAAGGGAATGGGAGATGAGACTCTGATTGGTTTATTCTCAAAACACACCTATAACTCATTAAGGAAATAAGCTCAACCCTTTTAGACCATGCGCCACGGCGCAAAGCGGATTTTCCCGTCCTTAAATTAGCAAAAGTTGATTCTGACATGCTCTGAAAGCATTTGCGCCCTGCGTTTTGCACTATGCACATGGACCATCAAAATAGACCCCATTATTTCTAAAAACAAGACAATATTTTTTGCTTGTCTAGAAAATGCTTCTTGATTTAAGAATTTTGAGATATTTGGACAAGAAACAAGACAAAAAAATCTAAGTAAGTAAATTCAAGCATTTTTTTTTGCAGTGATACAGATAACTAATATAATATCGTGTGCTAGAGGACGTTCTGGACATGTGGAAAGCTGTCCAACAGCGAAAACTGTCTACATAAATGACCTTCTGACTGAAATGGCAAATAAAAGAGCTGCGACTGCATTAATCCGCCTGCATGAGGAACTCAAATCCTGTGTTTGCACATCACTAAAGACAGCTAGGAGATTCTGCTGTTCACACGCAGGCAGAAAACACTCATCATGCCAACACTGAGCCGCCTGCAGCTTTGGTAATAATAAGCATCAGAAAAGCTAAAACGGCTACCCAACAACATCTGCATCTGAAGATTAAGTTTTCAGATCAACAACAAAAAGCAATCCAAAGAACACATATACCACAGGATTTTTATTAATGTCAAGTTTAAAGATAGTATGAAAGCAAAAATGTGGGAATAACCAGCTATTTCAAGCATTAAAATACATTTTAACATGCATTCTCTGCATATTAAAGCTAGAAATAGTAGGTTATTCAGATTAGGGCTGCACAAATACTGAGAAAACCTGTGATATGCGATAATGTTGTTGAGTGTTGCGAAAACAAAACTTCTTACTATATAACTTTATTTTTTCATTCATTCATTTTCTTGTCGACTTAATCCCTTTATTAATCCGGGGTCGCCACAGCGGAATGAACCGCCAACTTATCCAGCAAGTTTTTACGTAACGGATGCCCTTCCAGCTGCAACCCATCTCTGGGAATCATCCACACACACACTCACACACTACGGACAATTTAGCCGACCCAATTCACCGCATGTGTTTGGACTGTGGGGGAAACCAGAGCACCCGGAGGAAACCAATGCGAAGGCAGGGAGAACATGCAAACTCCACACAGAAACGCCAACTGAGTTGAGGTTCGAACCAGCAACCTTCTTGCTGTGAGGCGACAGCACTACCTACTGCGCCACTGCCTATTTTTTTAAACTATATATTTTTTAATAATCAAACTAAAATAAACAGGTAATAGATATTTTTTCTAAGCTAATTACATATAAAATGAAAAAAAAAATTGACTTTAAAACACCAGGAATAACAGAGACTCATATTTTTAGCTCTAACAGCACCTACTGGATTGGATGAAGATAGTCAAGGCTTCATCTGATTGGTCAGAATTATATAAACAAAAAACAGCCTATGCGTGCAGCACACAAATGCTTTGCACATCAAATTAATTTAACTTCTAATCTGAATATTGCATATACTGTTAATATGATAGGGCCGCATGGTTGCCTCACAGCAAGAAGGTCACTAGTTCATCCCGGGTGGGTCAGTTGGTGTTTCTGTGTGGAGTTTGCATGTTTTCCTACTGTTATTGTGGGTTTCCTCCAGGAGCTCCGGTTTCCCCCACAGTCCAAACACATGCGCTATAGGCGAACTGATGAACGTAATTGGCCGTAGTGTATGAGTGTGTGTGAATGAGTGTGTATGGGTGTTTTCCAGTACTGGTTTGCGGCTGTAAGAACATCCGCTGTGTAAAACATATGCTGGATTAGTTGGCGGTTCATTCCACTGTGGTGACCCCTGATAAAAGGCACTTCTCTGAAGGAAAATGAATGAAATATTGTGCAGCCCTAATCCGGGTACTTCTCGCCTTCTGTTTTTCAAATACTGTGAATTCAGACACACTACACAGCTCACATGCTAAATTGTGATGAAGGATGCGATTGCAGACGCAGTCTAAGGGTGCTTTCACACCTACACTTTTGTTTCGGAACGTATCTCGTTTGCCCAGTTAGCACGGTTCGATTGGCATATGTGAACAGGGCAATCGCGCTCTGTTCCGCGCCAAAGTAATCGCTCCGAGATCACTTGAGTGAGGTGGTCTCAGCTCGATTGAAACGAACCCTGGAGCGGTTCGATTGCAGTGAGAAAGCGATCCGATCCGAGCGCGGTTATATCACAGTGTTTATGGATATGTAATAGGCTTACGGCTATATGAAGAGAGAATTATGAGTAGGGCGGGAAGTTTCGCGAGTCTCCGGATGCCCGCAAACGAGTGATGATCTCCCGGTAATCTCGCGTCTCCCTCCCAGTCCTCAAATAGGCATCGTCGCGCACCCTTCTCACCCCTCCCCACCGCATCTCTCCTCAGACACGTCGCGCGCGCACCCTGTCAATCACCACCAAATCACCACCTCTCCTGACAGCTGAGCGGGACGCTGCAAAATAAACCCTGACACTCTGACCAATGTGAGGAGAGTTTACTCACACGTGACTTGTTTTAGCTCTATTGGTCCGATTAGAAACTTTGCAGTGTGAAAGCGAACCGCTCCAAGACCAAAGAGCAACAATGTAACAATTGTAATCTCTGTTTCGGAACAACTGAATCGATTCACAGGTGTGAAAGCACCCTAAGTCTAAATAACAGAGGTGCACTGTAAAAAGCTTCCCTAGTTTCCCGAGTGTTTTGTGTTTATTTTTTGGTGGTGAATTGCAGGATGTTGATCTCCGCTCGGTCCAGATTTGATGTTGAATATTCTACTGTTTAACAAAGTGACTTTAATTGACATTTTAGTAGTTTGAAATAATAATATAATGTGTAAGAAATAAAATGTAGAGAAACAAGTGTGTAAAATAACTGACAATGTGCTGCAGATTATTACAATGCTTCTGTAGCGTAATATACAACACCAACACACACAATACAGCTCTGCACACTATTACACATGACAATAAAAGTCACTTTTTACAACATTTCAAGCTTAAAAGTTGTTGTTAAACCATGAATAAAAGGGGAAAAATCGAAAACAAAACATCACAAGATAGGGAAAACGGCTAATTTCGGGATAGTTTTCTCCAGTGTTGATGTGTACAGGCATACCTTGACAGAGTAGGCCAGAGAGATGGTGACAGCGAGCGGCAGGCCTTCAGGAACCGCCACCACCAGCACTGTAACACCGATGATGAAGAACTTGACGAAGTACTGGATGTAGATCGGCGTGCACTCGGTCAGCCACGGCCTCTTCTGACGCACAAAGGTATCGATAGCAAAGTAAAGCACCAGGATGATGACGGTAATGGCGGACATCACCAGCCCTGAGGAGCAGATCACACACACACACACACACACACACAGCGCATTAGTGCTGCACTGCTGGGTTATTACCAGACAGAAATTAATCATAATTTTTTTAAATAGTCTACACTGGCAGAAGCCCTCACTGGTCATGTGTTTAATAACATTAAATGTTAGCTTTTCAAATATGATAATGTTTAACTTGATAAGAATACGAGAATAAGCAACATGTGTTGATCAGGACACCAGCTCCACTCATTTTGAGGCAGGAGAAACCCTGAAACCAGCAGCACCTGCTTTGCCGATCTGGACAGCCAGCTTGGTCAGTTTCCCCTGCAGGACGGACTTCTCTTTCTTGGAGACGCTGGTTTTCTTCTTCTCCTTCTCTTCTGTTTCTCCGCCCTCTGCGCTCTTCAAGGGCTGCATCTCCATTGCTGCGGCTCCGTCCTGTTTCTTCACTGCAATCACCAGTAAACACACACACACTGGTTAGGGGACGTCAGCATGATCTCACCCTATAGCTAATGCTGGACCGAGACTGACGAGTCGATCTCTAAATTAACCACACTTTCCACAGCACTTTTGTAGGTTTGATCATCATCATCATCATCATCACTTTTTGACAATTAAACATTTCCTCTGCTACACTGTAAAAAAACAGACATTTTTTCAGACATTTTGGAGGTGTTTTTCCTCCTCAAACGTCTCCTGTGTGTATCGCTAGTTTCTTCCACATCTCCTCCAAAGCCTTCTGTTGTGTTTCGATGTGAAATTTGACTGCTGTATCTGTGAAATAACTCAAATCATTCAGCGTAGTGATATGGAGATGTTATGCGCTCAAAACCTGCCGGATCTACTTTAGCTGTGCGTTTATCTGAGAATAACCAAACAGCTTAGAGCAGGAGTTCTCAATCTCGGTTCTGGAGGTCCGGTGTCCCTGCTGAAAAATCCAGCTTAAACCAGCCTAGGCTGGTTGGCTGGTTTTAGCTGGTTGACCAGCCTGGTTTTAGAGGGGTGTTGGCCATTTCCAGGCTGGTTTTCAACCATTTCCAGCCTGGTCTTAGCTGGCCAGGCTGGAAAATGACCAGCTTAAACTAGCTTGACCAGCCTGGTTTAAGCTGGACATAGCTGGTTTTGGCTGGACTCCCAGCCTGGCTAGGCTGCTCAAGCTGGTTTTAGCTGGTCATCTCCCAGCCTGACCAGCTAAGATCAGGCTGGAAATGGCTGGAAACCAGCTTGGAAGTGGTCAAAACCCCTCTAAAACCAGGCTGGTCGACCAGCTAAAACCAGCCAACCAGCCTAGGCTGGTTTAAGCTGTATTTTTCAGTAGGGGTCGTGCAGATTTTAGCTCCAATCCAATCACACACACCTGGGCTAGCTAATCAAGCTCTTATTAGGCTTTCAACATCCATGCAGGTGTGTTGAGGCAAGCTGGAGCTCAAATCTGCAGGACACCGGACCTCCAGAACTGAGTTTGAGAACCCCTGCCTTAGAATGGCCGTCAGCCAATCAAAATCAAGCAAGACCTAATAAAACATGTCATTTGTGGGGGGGAAAAACCTAATTTCCTGTTAATTTCCTCCATAATATTTTCCGATTGACACGAAGCAGAAATCAGGTTCTGCGAACTCCCTAAGAACTCTAAGTGACGGATGGACATCTTCATTAGAATGATTGGAGAGTTGGACAAAGACCCTGACACGCACACATGAGAAGCAGAACACGCAGACAGACGAGCGAGCGGACATCTCAACCGCACAGAGGAATCAAATCATGGCGAGCGCTCAAACCAGCGGTAAAGTGAAAGCAGGTTACCTTTGGTCTGGTTGTTCTCCATATTTCCATCCTGCATTTTACCTAAGATGAAGGCATCCACAGACACGGGACAAAAATAACAGAAAGCAGACGATAAAACATTCATCACGTGGACATTACAGTGAAATCAAATCAAAAGAGGAAGACAGAGAATGAGTCATTTATCAACATCATTGTGAGTCACGTACATAACACAGAGCTGTTTCAGAACGAAGGGTTGGGTCGTTTAGACAGTACATGTGGATCTTCTGTCTCCATCTTTACGTAGAGTATAAGCATTACGTGTGCTTTGTGTGTTTGCATGTTGGGACGCCATGGAATATCTCACGTGTAAATAACAAATCCTGCGTTTTTCGTGTTCGTGTATGGGTTGTTGACGTAATGGAAGCAGAATATTACGCTTGTCAGCTACACATGTACACACTGCAGAAAGACTTTCTTACTTAGGAAATGCTTCTCTGACTTGTTTTCAGAAATAATACCTCAAAATTACGTGAGTTTTTCCTCAAAACAAGCTAAATAATCAGCCAGTGGTGTAAGCTAAATCAGTGTTTCTCAACTGGTGGGTCGTGACTCAAAAGTGGGTCGTGGGAACATTTTCAGTGGGTCGCGGAGTGTGTAAACAAAAATACAACAAAAGTTTAATTTCTAACTCGTTTTGACTTTTATTTTGAAATGCGTGCACGACCACCCTACCGTTTTACATGTGAAATTTCATTTAATTATAGCAACAAATAATGCAAAGCGCAAGTACGACCCGGAATGTTTAAAGTATGGATTTACATATATTGACGACAAAAAAAGGCTTAAAGCCTCAGTGTGTCATAAAAGGTGCTCTCACAAAAGAGCAAGAAACTTAAATTAAAACGACATTTAGAAACCAGACAACATGTTTTATCAACTGTTCAGTTTAGTTCATGGTCACTGAACCTTTCCTTACCCTAACCACTGTTTACAGTATTTGTCATTTTCACTTTGTAATATTTCTGTAATTTCATATATTTCGTTAAATGACAGCAATGAAATATTGTTATTGTTATATTGTCAATTTTAAGGTCAAATTTATTAGCCCCTTAAGCTAATTGTTTTTCAGACTGTCTACAGAACAAACCATCGTTATACAATGCCTTGCCTTATTACCATAGCCTGTCTAGTTAACCTAATTAACCTCGTTAAGCCTTTCACACACACACATACGCGCACACGCACACACACACGCACGCACGCACACATGCACGCACACACACACACACACACACAGTCAAATAGCTATTAACTTTTTTTTTTTTTAGGTGGGGCCAGTGAAAATTTTGGCCGGGCAAGTAAAAATGAGAACCACTGGCCCGATCGGGCCAGTAGAAAAAATCCTTAGCGTTGAACCCTGTGCGTGCTGGTCTATAAAGGTGTGTTAAGGCGCATTATTGATCCGCTGCTATTTTGAGGAACTGAAACAGACCACGGCATTGACCAACTAAAATCTGCTCTAGAGTCCAGCACAGATTGCGTTAGTTTTGTGCCTATGCAGGTCTAAATGCTGAATACACACAGGATGTTCAGCAATACACAAATAACTTTATGAAAATAAATTAGCATTAAAATGTTATAAAAATTATTGTTTACTACATAAATATATAAAAAAAACACTGTCTCTATGCCTTCTTCATGCCTAGGTAGCTTTATTCAGTTTAGTCATGACAGTTAGCATTTTTATTATAATGTTATTAATATTAGCAGTATTATTGATTATATGCAGATTTATATTTGCTTTAATAAACACAAGTGTAGATGTGTCCAGCTGTGGGGTTTTGGAGACGTCTGCATCAGCATATGGGGCATAAGAACAGGACGTGTGTTTGGATATAACCCTGTTTTCTGACCACGCTTCATTATTATTGATCATTTATTGATGGGGATTTGAACTGAATTTACCAATAGTTTTGAAGCAAATATTTGCGCTTAACAAGGGAAATTAAATCTGTGGGCTAATGGAGCTTCCACCGTTTCCCCACTCCACTAAAGTAAAGGAGTAAAGTAAAGGAGAAAAGTAAAGAGGCTGAATGGAGGAGGCTCGTTCTTTATCCTCGCGCTGCAGATGCTCTGTTTAACTGTTTTCTCGCTAGTGAAGCGTTCAGTTTTTACACTTACAAAGCCCGTCGTGTAAATAGCAAATGCGCCATGGAGCGACGCAACTGACTCTTAAAGGGAATGAGAGACGGTCTGATTGGTTTAATGCAGGTTGTGCTCAAAACACACCCAGAACTTATTAAGAGAATAAGCACAACCCTGTTAGACCATGCGCTGAGACGCAGAGCGGATTTTACTGTCCTTAAATTAGCAAAAGTCAATTCAGACATCCCCTTAATGCTTCTGCGCTAGTCTTTGCACCTCGATTGTTAAAACCGAGCTCTAAGTAAGAAAGGCATTTCTGCAGTGCAGTGGGCTGGTCATAGAGGAGGAATTGAGACGTGTTCATTCAGATATTCCATGGAGGAGGAATGGAGGGGAAACACAATGAAAACAGCAGGACTCAACAGGACATGCAGGAGAACATGCAGATCCACCGAGGAGAGCAGTCAGAGAAGATAAAGAAGAGGAGATGAAGAGAAAAACAGCAGAACTCTAAACCTCGTCAGACTGATGCATGAATATCCTCACAGCGTGACCAGAATCCGACACTCCTGCTGAACAATCCAGCATTGTGGGTCAGCAGGAAGATTATTTTATTTTGTGTGGGTTTTAAGCACACTGCAAAAAATGCTTTTCTTACGATTTGAGTTTTTGTTTGGTTTCCACTCCAAAAATTTAAATGAAGCATTTTTTAGACAAGTAAAAATATGAAATAAGAAAAACAAAATAAGAAAAAAAATTATATATATATATATATATATATATATAATTATTGTAAGATTATTTAACTTAAGCCATTGGCAGATTATTTAGCTTGTTTTAATAAAAAACTTTATTATGACTCATTATTTCTGAAAACAATACCATATTTTTGCTTGTCTAGAAAATGCTTCTTGATTTTACAATAAGTAGATATTTGGACTAGAAACAAGACAAAAAAAAGTAAGAAAAGCATTTTTTGTTGTTGTTGTGTAGGGCTGTGGGATATTGGGAAAAACTGGCTCTGCGATATTTCATTTTTAATCATAATCAGTGTTAGGCACAGTTACTGTAGAAAGTAATGCATTACAATATTGAGTTAATCCGCAAAACAGTAACTAGTTGCATTACTTCATTACTTTTTATGGTAAATAATGCGTTGAGTAAATAAGGCTTGATCTCTTTTCAGAACTTGCAGGGGTTTCTTCTTCTTTTTTTTTAATAGAAGAGCTCTGCAATGAACAACACACTCTGATGAGAGGTGCTGTACAAGCCACAGGAGCGATCACTGTTTTCATATTTCACTATTCTTTTGTTTGATCAAACATAATTCAGTGTGTTTGGACCACATCAGACATATAAAAGCATTACTTATGCACATCAGCTCAAAAACAGAGGAGAATGGCCCTGAAGCGCACAGCATAAGGTAAGAGATGACAGCTGTCTGTGCTATCTGGGGCTGCTTATTGATCATAAATGTATAGTTTACATTTCTGCACCATGGAAACACCGCGATTCATTGGGCAACTGTTTGATATGTGAATATAATTCAGTAAAAAGAATACTAGAACCGTATGAGCACCAGCAAGAGCTTTCATTTGAGCTATAACTTGTACATGTGTCATATGAAAAATATGAAAATGAACCAATGTTCAATACCCAGCTCGGGTCTGTAAAATACTGTGTTTTTAAGTGTAAATAACTTTTGTACAGTAGAATAAAAACCAAAGTGATGCATATGAGCATAAAATATAGATTCTACACTTTCAAACGAAACCACTTACGGGGGTCTGGTGCAATGCTAGCCCTTTAAATCTTAAAGCGAAAGTCGATGACGTCACAGACCCGGTACTGGGTCTGCAGAGTTTAACTGGTTAAAGTTCCAATCATATGCCTGTTAAATATATAACATAAATGAAAAGATAAACCAAACACAAAAGGGTAGAAGAGTGAGGAGAGGAGAACAGGAGTCAGCGACTGGAGTGGACATGCACTGAATCACAGCAGAAGAAGAGAAAGAAGAAGAAGAGAAAGGACAGCGGAGATCTGCTCAACCTACCATTGACTAGGCTGGTATTAGCAGGTGTATTTGCGCTTGCCGCACCATCGGTAGCTATAGTTGCGATGGGGTGTGAGGAGGGATGGGAGCAGTCTAGCCGTAACAATGAACAAAAGTAGCATGGTTATTGGCTCAACATACCGCTGTCAACTCATACAGCACTTCACATGACGAAAAAAAACACCGCAACATAAGACAGATCACAGACGAAACAAAGTGGAAGCACAAAGGAAACGACACCATGATCGATGGCACAGATATCTCTAGCACTGATGGAGGTCTCTGGATTATACACTAGAAAACACAACCAGTTTCTGCTGCTACTGATTAAAGCGATGGTTCAGCAGCACAAAAGGAAAATACTGTCATTATTTACTGCAAAACGTAAAACCACAAGAGTTATAGATCTTCAGAAGACATGTTGTGTTCAAATCTGACCTCGCATCAAATATCTATTCACCTCAAAGTCAATCATCAACAGAGTAAATTAAGGATCAATGGACTCGAGTCTTGCAGGACTCCCAGAGCTCATCAAGATTCTTTGGATTCATCTTCAATGCCTCCTCCTTCATCCTACCCCAGACAAACTCAATAATATTAATTTCTGGTGACTGGGCCTGCCAATCCTGAAGTTAATAGCATGAGTTGTGTCAAATTAAATTGTTACCAATAAATGTGTTTACTCATATCTTCATTAGCTTTTCTCATCAAGAACCCTAGTCAGTAACACTTTATAATTTCTGCACACTACAAATCATTCATTAAGCATTAGCTTATATTTGATTCATTATTGAAAGTAAATAGCTAACTATTATTAATTCATTATTATTTGTTAAACATTAACTCTACATTTATAAATGTTAGTACGCAGTTTATAAAAGGTTTTTTTTACTCATAAGCACTTGTGTAATGTGCATTATGATTGTGTTTGCATGCTTTGCTTAGGATTTTGTTTTCCATTACTAAATTAGGTATTTTTACAAGCCAGTTGTATTTAAGAGTAGTTGGTGGTTTAAATAGCAGGAGTGTCAAAATACAACATAGTTTAATAAAACAACAATATAATAATTTAACAATATAGCAATACTCATTTCAACGTTATTTAGCAGCGTTTAAACTACAGACATACTAATTTAAATAAGACAGCAAACACTTATTTTTCACTTGATACAGTTTCGTTTGTGTATTTAGATTTTTTTTTGATCAGATTTCCTAGTTTCCTAGTTTAATTGTCATTTATACTAGAGATGCGCGGATGACGTGACGAAAAATAAAATTTTAATTAAATTCGGGCGGGTGGCGGGCGGTTGTACTGTTTTTGTACACATAGCTGGCGCACCAACGAAAAAGCCTAGGACTGACTTCACAGAATGAGAGGAGGAATCGGATACACTAATTCTGGATGAAGTACAGAAGTATTCCTTTACAAACTTCCGTATAGACGGATCAGCAGAGGAAAATCTACTTTCCTTTTAGGAGAAACAAGGCCAGTCATTCCCACGACTACAGCACCTTGCCAAGAGAATTCTATGCATTCCAGCAACAAGTGCTGCGAGCGAGCGCTCCATCAGCGCAGCAGGGCGCATTAGAGGCCAGGCGCTCTCGTCTGAATGTTGAAATTATGTCAAAATGCGTTTTCTATTAGGCTACAATAATTGTAAAAAAAATTGTACAGTACAGTGCGTTTATTTTAGGCTATTTATTTATTTTTGTCCCTGTGCGCCAATTGGAGACGGAGTTCACTGCTGATATTCTGAGAGCTTTATAGGGTGCTTCTCACTTCTTATTTGTGTATCCTCGTTTCCTTCCCTTGCTTTCTTTCCTCGTCTTTCCACCCCTATAGGATGCGAGGGAAGGACGCAAGAAAAAGACTCAAGGACCGAGGAATCGAATCAAGTGAAACGACACGTCCTCGTATTGTTTAGCGTCACTTCAAAGTGTCAATTAATGCTGGATTTGACTTGCACGTTTGGATTAACTGCATGTCATTAAAGTCATTCTCTATTTTCTAATAATCAATAAAGAAACATTCATTTAATAATAAAAAGGAATAAGCCATTCAAATAAAGAGCTCAGTCAGCAGATGGCGGGCGGGTGAGGTTTTAAAATTTGGTCGAAAATGTTCGTGCGGATGGATGGCGGACGGATGATGAGTTTTGTGATGTGGTTGCGGATGAAATAATAGCCCATCCGCGCATCTCTAATTTATACGAGATCTATAAAGCATAAATAGTGCTCACTTTAGATTAGGTCACAAAACTGGTAAAGTTGTGTTAATAAAGCATTTATAAACTTACAGAGTAATTATTATTACAGGGTATATACACGAATCAGAGAGTAAAATTCAATACCTTTTAAGAGCTTGTTTAAGACTCTTTCCATACATTTTAAGGCCTTTTACCCACTCATGGAAACACTGGCGAGATTTTAACTTACAGTATACTAAATATTAATGTAAGAAACAAATCCAAAACTAAAACATTATTCATATACTGAATAAAAATCACTTTACTTTGCTTGTCCATTTCAGTATAAGTCTGCTTAATATCTGTTGATACTGCTCATTCAACAGACATTTCACTGACTGATTATTTTGAGACTGATTATGTTAATAGATTTAAGTTACATTGCATCTACATGTCAACTAATTATAGGTTATAGGTTGATTATAAGTAGGCTGTTAGGTTGGGGTTGGGGTTGGTGTAAGTTGACATGTACTTGCTAAGTTTCTTATAGTCAGTCAAAAGTCTGTTGAAGCAGCAGTATCAGCAGATATAATAATACATTTTAATAATAATAATAAATTTTATCTACTGTATAATGCGGTTTTCTCAGTCCCAAAGCGCTAACAGGCATACAAGGCAAACAAAGCAGAACAATAAAAACAGTCAAAAAATAAAATAAAAGCAAAAGACTGCAATGAAAAATGAATGATTCAATACAGTTGGATGATAAAATAACATAAATAATCAATCTAAGTTTAAAGCAACGGTAAAAAGGTGAGTCTTAAGAAGTTTCTTAAAACAATCCAGAAAAACAGCATTCCTGATGCTGGTGGGTAGGCTTTTCCATAACTTAGGGGCGGTCTACGAAAATATTAAGCAGACAGTCTACTAATACTCAAATGAACCATCAAAATAAAGCATAACCTAAAAATCGATTACATCTAGCTAATTCAGCAGGTTGGTGCTTATAGAACTGCAGAAATAACGGTGTTACTTTGCTTATGGCGATAAGCAAACCAATATGATGTCAAATCTAGCAAGATTTTGTTGATTTCATAAACTACACAGCATCCTGATATTCACAGAATGCAGTAAACTTTAGCATACAACCATACATTGCATGATCATAAACAATATAACACCTTGCAAAAGAGCATTTCAGACATTTTAATACTTTTTAAGAGCCTTAAATTTCACGAAAGTCTTAAAATATGCTAATTAGGCACATTACACAAGTGCTTATTAGTCAAGAACAGAGCATTTGTAGCTGTATTTATAAACTGCTTACCAATGTCTTATACCAGGGGTCTCAAACTCGCGGCCCGCGGGCCATTTGCGGCCCTCAGTGCAATATTTTGTGGCCCGCGCCGACCGCTGTACACTGACAGAGAGCGCTCCCCGCTCCGCTGATTCTATCCGTACACAGCGGTCACTGGCATTCCCCGCCCGCCGTGTAAACAAAAGGGCGGGGATGCCGGTGACGTCACCACGCACCCCGCCCCTTTGTTAGACGCTGTGACGGGTGGGAAGTGTTACCAGGAGGGAACTCGCGCCGGCCAGAACCAAGGTAAGCTGTTCCCGCCCCTGCCTGCCACTTAGCTACCTATCTGCAGCCTGCCACCTACCTAGCTACAGCCTGCATCTTATATATATTATAGGTAGATACAGACTGGTGCAGACTGATGTGACTGGAGTGGGGTGGGGGTGTTTTATTTATACATATATACGCCTTTTTTTTAGGTGAGGGCAGGCACGTGCACACGTAGGGCTCAACCTGTGCAGAGCACATGCCCTTTTTAGTCTTGGATAGAAAGTGCCCTTCCAAAATGATCAAAAGTGCCCCCGCGACGCGGCACACCTTCGGTCCCGCTCTTCAGTACGCGCGCGATAACACCGCTCTTCAGTACGCGCGCATCCACTCTGTGGTGAGGGAATGGAAGTTTTGAGTGAGTTCCCCCAAGCCATACTGAGGGTCTCAACTGCTTCCGCTCTAAAGCCAAATGTGGTTCAGATTTGTGAGAAGAAGCGCTGTCAAGTCTCTGGCAGCAAGAAGTAGGCAAAAGATGCCATGTTCAGAAGAACTGTTCATAATCTTCACTCAATGTTCTATTAATGTTCAGGACACTTCATGTTCAGAAGAAATAATTAAAATTGTTAATAAAGACATTTGAGGACTTTTTTTTGTGAAATCCCTTATGCGGCCCAGCCTCACCCAGACTTTGCCTCCTGCGGCCCCCAGGTAAATTGAGTTTGAGACCCCTGTCTTATACTATAGAGCGAATGCTTAACAACTGATGCAGTAGTCAAAGACTATCACGACATCTAAGGCATGAATAAAATGATGACAGAACTTCCCGATCGGGCTGAACCAGCGCTTTAAGCAAACATGAGCAGGTGATTAAAAATAAAGAGAAAACAACTAAAACAATCGCATGCTTTGAAATCAAACCCAAGTGCTTGAATCACAACAGTCTAGGATTAAAGTAGGAAACCGCCGGCGTTGAGCGCCGCACATCACCACCTGCCCATCGTCATTCATCAAATGCTTAAAAAAAAGAGCTGCTGCTTCTTTTTAAGTCAGAGATCAGGGTTACTGAAGCAGGGTTCGGGAGGGACGGAGGGAGGGAGGGTTTAGTGGGTAATAGATGAGCGTTACTGCGGTAAATCTCCGGCACAGAGAGGTATACTGTACCTGGCAGCGGATGGCCATCCTCTAGAGCCTGACCTGCGATGGTTTCAGAATAACAAACACATCAGGCCTCCAAAGCCCAGCACAAACACAGTCTCCAATAGGGTATATGCACAGCTAGCGTTTGACCCCTACCGGTAAACGTCTGGTGAACGGCTAATCAGTGATTAGAAAAGAGTTTTACAACTATTATGTGTTGAAAAAAACCTCTCCATTAAACAGAACTTGAGGAAAATAAGAGTTAAAGGTGCAGTATGTTAGTTTGACACCCAGTGGGTTTGCATTCCTGGATCCAAACAAGTGCAAGCGAGGTTGCCAGATTGAGAACCAACAGGAGCGAGTCTGACCATCCAGTCTAAAGGCTGATTTGGGGTGCTTTTTACACTTGGTCCGAATGCCTGGTCCGAGCCCAAGTTCGATTGTTATGTCCTCGGCTGTTCACAAGGGCTGCATCCAAAATGGTCTACTACTCAGTAGGTACTTGAATTTAAATTTAGTACTCGGCCGTGAGAAAAGTGCGTTCTATAAAGTATGAACGTGAGCAGTATGACTGAAATTCAGACATACCACAACTGTCATTTTGTTATGGTCACGTGACCTACCCGCATCAGTTGAATCGCTTCAGTCCCATTCATAAATTCTCTCTGGGGTAGAGGTCTGCATTAAATTTCCGAATAAATCGCGGGAGCGGTCGGTAACGGGTTTAATTTGGGACGGGAGCGGGCTGTCTAGCAATATCGCGGATATTGCTATGCGAATGAGAGAGAGAGAGAGAGCTTTGCCTGTGTTTGTGCTTGGTGCTTGTGTGTGTGTATGTTAGTGCGCGCGCGCGTGAATGAGAGAGAGAGAGAGAGTTTTCCCAGATAGCAAAATGCACTCGGGCCAGTTCCGGCTAGATTCTCGCCTGCCGGAGACTTACCACTCAGCCCGGCTCTGGCTGCCGGACTCCGGATGCTTGTGGACTCACTGCCCGATTAAGTAAGCGAGCCGACGCTGCCGCATCCGCGCCGGAATGCTGCAGCCCGGAGCTGGCGCGACTCAGTATTTATATACCTTTATATAAAACCTTTTGGTATTACATTGGTACTTGATACATGGTATTACAAGCCTTTGAGTTGATATAACAGCAAACACCTGTGTGTCTGCTTGGAGCTTGTGTGTGTGTTAGTGCGCGCGCGTGCGAGCGTATGAGATAGAGAGATTGGTCTGTGTGTGTGTGTGCTTGGTGCTTTGTGTGTGTGTGTTTATACAGACAGCTTGGCTGTCTGGACTGTATAGCTGGGGGATTTTTGTTTTTGTTCTCCCCCGTTCTTTATTAGCGGGATCGGGCTCGGCGGCCAGAAAACGGGGCGGACAGGGCAGCCGGACAATAAATTTTTAATATAAGCGGAAGCGGTCGGGTTCGGGCTAAAACCTGGCGGGTGCGGGCGGGAGCGGGATTCAAAATTTAGTCCCGCGCAGATCTCTACTCTGGGGGCATCAGCATGCATGGGATACGCACTTCAGAATCCCGCCGGAAGTAGTAGGTTACTTCGAAGTCGGACACACAACTTTGCTTGCATACTTAATCCCTTAGTTGGCTTAGTCCCTTTATAAATCCGGGGTCGCCACAGCGCAATGAACCGCCAACTTATCCAGCAAGTTTTTACGCAGCGGATGCCCTTCCAGCTGCAACCCATCTCTGGGAAACATCCACACTCACATTCACACACACACTAATACACTATGGACAATTTAGCCTACCCAATTCACCTGTACCACATGTCTTTGGACTGTGGGGGAAACCGGAGCACCCGGAGGAAACCCACGCGAACGCAGGGAGAACATGCAAACTCCACACAGAAACGCCAACTGAGCCGAGGTTCGAACCAGCGACCTTCTTGCTGTGAGGCGACAGCACTACCTACTGCGCATGGTTCCAGAAATCAGGTAAGACAAAAACAGAATCCAAAAAATAAACAAGTGAATAACAGGGTGAGAATGTGGTGAAATCAGACGAGAGCTTTTCTTTTTTGCATTTCAGTCACGAACGCAGGCTTTAAGAGCCTTCCAGACTGACTGAATGAAACATGCTGTTTTCCACCAAGGAAAACGCGGGTGCGAGTTACCAAAACAAAGACAGCCATTCCAGCACGTAACGCACATGTTCAAAGCCGAATATCTGACTTCAGCATTGTTTTTCAGATAAACAAGAATGTTCGGCAGCTCGCTCTCTGCAACTCTCACATGGTCGCCCGCTGAAGCTAAGCAGGGCTGCGCCCGGTCAGTACCTGGATGGGAGACCACATGGGAAAGCTAGGTTGCTGCCGGAAGCGGTGTTAGTGAGGCCAGCAGGGGGCGCCCAACCTGCGGTCTGTGTGGGTCCTAACGCCCCAGTATAGTGACGGGGACGCTATACTGCTCAGTGAGCGCCGTCTTTCGGATGAGACGTTAAACTGAAGTCCTGACTCTCTGTGGTTGTTTAAAATCCCAGGATGTTCTTCAAAAAGAGTAGGGGTTTAACCCCGGCATCCTCGCCAAAATCTGCCCACTGGCCCTTGTCCATCATGGCCTCCTAACCCTCCCCATATTCCAATTGGCTTCATCACTGTCTCCACCAATCAGCTGGTGTATGGTGTCGCGTCATCCAGGTGGATGCTGCACACCGGTGGTGGATGAGAAGACCCCCCATTGTGTAAAGAGCTTTGAGTGCTATATAAATGTAAGGAATTAATTATTATTATTATTATTATTATTATAAGAATATTATTATTATTTAGAAGAGTCAAACACACATACAGCACCTTTAACATTTAACAGGAGGGCTAACAGTTCTGACTTGAGCTGTCGGTGATGTCTATGTGTAGATGTTCAGTGAGGGGTATTAGTGTATTATCATAAATGACATTCTCCACCATAATCAAACCCCTCTCATGGGGTAATAGCTGTGTGAAACACTGAAGCGTCTGCATGTTGTGCTGTCGGTGTGTGTGTGACGTGACTCTTCAGCTTCAGTTACACACCTTTCTTCTCTTTTTTCTCCTCCTCTTCTCCTCCAGCGCCCAGCAAAGTGAAGATGATCCCAGACTGAGAGTTCACACCGACCGCAGTGACCACCATCCGACCCGAGCCCTCCATCACATGCGTGCCTGAGGATCCAGACATGGAGAATCAACGGTAAACACACACACACACACACACACATGGAGTATGTATGTAGTGATGAGGAGCAGTGATTGACCAGAGAGCAGCATGGGGTCTTTATCTGCAGCTTTGCGCACGTGGTCTGATTCCCCCGTCAGAGAGCTCTCATCAATCTTCAGATCATTGCCTTGTATCAACACCCCGTCCGCCGGCAGCAGGTCACCTGAACACACACATTCACAATTACTTCATTTATCTTAAAGGTCCTGTGACAAGTAAAATCAAGTGTTTTAGATGCTAGTATCAGTGTGTTAGTGTCTCCAAAAGAATGACAACATTCACATTTAGAAGATATAAACCTGATTTAAACATATAAACGTTTGACACTTCCACCTAAATGGATTTTTTACTTCAGTTTTTCATCGAATCTGACCGAACAAATGCTCTCTACACTACCTGACAAAAGTCTTGTCGCCTGTCCGAGATTTAACACATACTAACTTGACTTCTAGTTGATCGTTTGGTATCAGAAGGGTCTTATATGAAGGCAAAGGCCTCTAGATTTGGCTTATTTGAGCTCAATTAAATCTGATCATGTCTTGATGTTGACTGATTTGATGAGGACAGTAAGCTCTGAATCTGCTCAGACTAAAGTCTCATCACTGAACAGAAATAATGTCCAGTATAGAATATAAAGTCCTGCTGCAGTGGAGACAGAATGAATTTTGTGTCTGACTCCATCATGAGCTTGGAGGACTGCATACATACATCTCTGACATGACTGATTAATAAAGTCATCTGGAATGGCAAAGAAAGCCTTCTTGCAGGACTCCCAGAGTTCATCAAGACTCTTTGTGTTCATCTTCAACACCTCCTTCTTCATCTTACTCCAGACGTGCTCAATAATGTTGATGTCTGGTGACTGGGCTGGCCAATCCTGGAGCAGCTTGACCTTCTCTGCTTCAGGAGCTTTGATGTGGAGGCTGAAGTATGAGGAGCAGCGCTATCCTGCTGGAGAATTGTCCCTCTCCTGTGGTTTATAATGTAATGGGCAGCACAGATGTCTTGATACCTCAGGCTGTTGATGTTGATCTTCCACTCTGCAGATCTCTCCATACTGAATGGAATCCCAACCATGATTTTTCCTTCACCAAACTTGACTGATTTCTGTGAGAATCTTTGCTCCATGGAACAGTGAAGTTCAATTTTCAGTTCAATGAGATCCATGACAAGACTTTTGTCAGGTAGTGCAGTGTCTTACATGCTCCACCCCCTTCTTCTCTCTCACTGTCAGAGCTCAGAATAAACAAAACACTATTGGCTGTTTTTTAAGGGGAGGAGCTACACAAAGTCTCTTCATGTTTTAGTTGAGCTTACGTCAAACGTCAAATAAAGACACATTTCAAAGCACTTCACGGGACATTTAATACTGTACTGGAGTCATTTATTGTCATTAAATTTAGTTAGTTAGTTAGTTAGTTAGTTAGTTAGTTAGTTAGTTAGTTAGTTAGTTAGTTAGTTAGTTAGTTTAGTTAGTAAAACACATTTCAAAGCACTTCACGGGACCTTTAATACTGTACTTGAGTCATTTAATGCCATTAAATTTAGTTAGTTAGTTAGTTAGTTAGTTAGTTAGTTAGTTAGTTAGTTAGTTTAGTTAGTAAAACACATTTCAAAGCACTTCACGGAATCATTTAATGCCATTAAATTTAGTTAGTTAGTTAGTTAGTTAGTTAGTTAGTTTAGTTAGTAAAACACATTTCAAAGCACTTCACGGGACCTTTAATACTGTACTTGAGTCATTTAATGCCATTAAATTTAGTTAGTTAGTTAGTTAGTTAGTTAGTTAGTTAGTTAGTTAGTTAGTTAGCCAGCTAGTTAGTTAGCTAGTTAGCTAGTTAGTTAGTTAGTTAGCTAGCTAGTTACTTAGTTAGTTAGTTAGTTAGTTAGTTAGTTAGTCAGTTACTTAGTTAGTTAGCTATCTAGTTACTTAGTTAGCTAGTTAGTTACTTAGTTAGCTAGTTAGTTAGTTAGTTAGTTAGTTAGTTAGTTTGTTAGTTAGTTAGTTAGTTAGCTAGTTAGTTACTTAGTTAGTTAGCTAACTAGTTACTTAGTTACTTAGTTAGTTACTTAGTTAGTTAGCTAGCTAGTTAGTTAGTTAGTTAGTTAGTTAGTTAGTTAGTTAGTTAGTTAGTTAGTTAGTTAGTTAGTTAGTTAGTTAGTTAGTTAGTTAGTTAGTTAGTTAGTTAGTTAGTTCATAATCCAGCAGCATACACAATGCAAAAAAAATCTTACACAATGCAAATCCCACACAGTAAAACAGACACTACATACGCTAAACCAGGGGTCACCAATCCTGGTCCTGGAGGTCCGGTGTCCCTGCAGGGTTTAGCTCCATCTTGCCTCAACACACTTGCCTGGGTGCTTCGAGTATACCTAGTAAGATCTTGATTAGCTTGTTCAGGTGTGCTTGATTAGGGTTGGAGCTAAAATCTGCAGGACACCGGACCTCCGGGAACAAGTTTGGTGATCCCTGCACTAAACAATAAAAGATACAATCTAAAATAATATATATATATATATAATACATAAACAAACACAAGACTAAAATATAATATAAAAATAATACAGAGGTCAAAATAAAATAAAACCCGTGACACATATGCCTAGCAGCTTATTTTACCAGTGTAAGGACAGAGTTAGTTTAGTGGAAAATCATGCAAAACAAGATGAAAATAACAAAGTTGTACTGATTCTGCTTAACATGCTGATGTAATGTTAGCCATCTAAGTAGATAACTTACTAAACAGGCACTCAAACAACTATTGAGGAGCATATTTGTCCTCTAATAATTGTACAATATACAGTTATTTCATCTATTAATGTTAGTATGCATCATTAATGAAAGCATTAAAAGTGACCTTTTGAACTCATGAGTCTTTCTTCAGCGTAATGTTAAATCTAGTGTTCAACAGGGTCAAAACTTCTGAAGACGGGCGGCCGCTCGGCGATGGAGCATATTTCACAATCTAATCTGCAAAGCTTTTCACAGAGACTCGATGGTGCTTCCAATAATCCCTCCAGTTTCTCCCAACAACAAGAATGGATCAATATTACCGTCTCCAAGGACTTCAAGCGCCAATCCTCTAAGATGGCACTCATCAAGCATTTCACAACAAAATATTTCCCGCTGAAAATCCACAGAATGAAAGGACTGCTGTATGCCAATAGAGCAACACTATACTGTGGGTGTTCCCCAGCGTTCAGTATTGGGTCCCTCTGTTGTATTAAATATCAAAAGAATATATATTTATTTGGAGAAAATTTAGATTTAACTTTGCCAGTGCATCATTTCAACCCCCACGCATGTTCAGAAATAACGCTAAGCTAACCGTCAGTGTACTAGCGAAGAAGATGGAGCCCCTCTCGCAGCCTGCCAAGGGCTCTCACCCACAGGATCACTCCGTCACTGTCAGCACACACATTTTCTGCCTCCCACTTGTTCAGGAGATCCGAAATAACAACCGGAAGCTCTCTCAGCACTGCAGAGCCAGAGCAAATCTCCAGCTTAGAAAGTGTTGATCAGCTCGACCAGCCGTACTGGTAAGGTGTACCTAATAAAGTGGCCGCTGAGTGTATATTGTGATAACTGGTCTGTATTTATTTATTTGGAAGGACAATTACTATTTAGTATAAGTACATATTTATGTATTGTAGTCTTTCAATTAATATAAGCTCATAAAACTACATGCAATATCCCAAGAATGAGCTCAGTAGTGTTTCAAATACATTTAGATGCAGTTTTACAAGTCTGACAGCAAAATATATTGATTTCATGACAAACAAGAATAACTGCAATAATTGACACACAATGCAAATCTGTAGCACTCAGTCCTGAGAATCTAGGATCCCCAAGAGGTCTAGTATGAAACCCAAATGTGCAGTGTTTATTTTGTCAGCATACATTGTTAGTCTTAAAGTAAACAATCAATCCTGCAAGTTAATCCACTGAAGTTTGTTTAATCTCTAATAAAAACCTAACTGATCTATATCTTTCTTCTCTGGTGACTCTGATTGGTCGAAATATGCTTAGCCACGCCCTTCCAACTGGTTATTTGCTATAAGTGAAAGATGAGAGGCGGAGCTTATAAAATAAACTCCGGCCTCTGTTCAGGTTCAGATGGAAATACTGAAATAAATGTCTGAAGCAACATTCACATGACTTTAAAGTCCACATTAAGAGGAAGCTGCAACTTTTTTTCCCATATTGTGACGCAGATCCATTAAAATCTGAGTATGAAATGAGAAAACAGTGGGCGTGGCTTGTTTTTTCTACTGCGAGTTAAATTTTCAGTAGATGAACTTTCCCTATTTGCTTTACAGAGAAGCAGCTGGTCAGTGTGCTGAAGAAGGTTATTCACAGCAGACTGCATGCAAATGATCAAGCAGCTCGAGCTAATGCAATATAAAAATGTCTTTCAAACTAAAAATCAAAAGTCAAAAGCATTGATGACGACACATACCATACTTGATTTGTGCAATATCTCCGACTAGTATATCGGCCACGGGCAACTGGATGACCTGGCCTCCTCGCACCACCTGGAACTTCTGCTCCTGCTCGATGCGGCTCTGTAAACCCCTGAACTGCTTCTCTTTGCTCCAGTCGTTGAAGGCCGTGACCAGAACCACACACACCACTGACAGCAGGATCGCAGCTCCTTCGATCCAGCCTGCCTCCGACTCGCCCTCGTCCTCCGCACCCGCCTTCGCATCTCCACAGGCTGCAGAGTGACCAGCACAGAATTAACACACAATAACACACACTGGACAATTCTTTTCAATACTCATTTTACTAATATTTCCCAAGTGCTGTTTAACAGAGATTTATAAACACATTTTAACCATAAAACTTTAACTAATGTCTAATAATAACTCATTTCTTTTGTCTTGGTCATGATGGCAGCATGTAATACCCAAACCAGGCTCATTATGGACATGTGCCCCTGTATACGTTGTTGGAGAGCACGTAATACGTCCTAGGAGATACTTTTTTTGCAGTTTTATTTTTCACAAATCACAAAAATATGTCAGCCATATTAACATTATTTTAGTTTCACTGCTATTAACAAAGGAAGGGAAAAACCCATCATTTATCAGAGTTTGAGGTTGTATTTTGTAACCTACTAAGGGGTGTGAATTTGTTTATAATTTCCTGTAATATTATTAATATTAATAATATTAATAATAATAATAATAATAATAATAATAATAATAATAATAATAATAATGATACATTCATTCATTCCTTCATTCATTTTCTTTTCAGCTTAGTCCCGTTAATAATCCAGGGTCGCCACAGAGGAATGAACCGCCAATCCAGGTAAGTATAAATAATAATATAATAATAATATTAATTCTAATAATAATAATAGTAATAAAATAATATGCTTAAAAATAATACTAATAATAATATAGTTAATAATTATTATTATTATAATATAAATAATAATAATAATAATAGTAATATTATAGTTAATAATAATAATATAGTTAATAATAATAATAATAATAATAATAATAATAATAATTTAGGCGATAAAGTGGGGCAGCAGGTGGAGCTTGAGGCCGTATTTTGTAACCTACTAAGGGAAGGTGTGAATTTGCGTATCATTTATTGTGTCAATTAACAACAGAACTTTGTTTGTAATGTGAGAAAAATCACCAGAGGAAACCAACGTCATTTCTACTATACAACATCTCAAACTGAGACAGATGCATACAAATAAAGGCATGCTAATTTTCGCAATACAACAATAAAGACGTTTGATTTATGAGGACGCAGTTGATGACAACATAAATGCAGAATATTGCACGATCCTTCATAATAACTCTGACTGATGCACATTACACACTGATGCTGGATAAAGATTGATGGAGAACGATGACAAATTTCATATCTTCATAATAGTGTGATGTGCATTCTCCACACTAAGTAGGTGCTGTGATGAGTGTCAGTGATTTGGGAGGGTTTCCTCGGGGGTAAAGCGGCAGCAGCAGAGGCCAGTGCTGCTGCTCCAGATGTGCAGGACTAAATAACGGAGGCGTTCTGAATGAAGTTTGTTTGCTGCATTACTTCAGACACACTGGATGACACTATCACTGCTGAAAACATTATTCAGGAACACAAACACACACACTGTTCCTGGAACATCTTGCTCTCTCTGTAAGTCTTCAGCAAAGAGCAGTGCCGCTGTAAACTTAAATCAGATGTTTTCCCCTGGCTCTACAGTTACTGTTTATAATATTTCATAATAACAACACATTTTCCCAAAAGTAAAAACTACTGCATACTCTTGTAAATAAATATGTATTTAATAAAAAATATAAATGTAAGCTTTGAACCAATCTGTTTGAGCATTAATAGTAATAATAATAATAATAATAATAATAATAATAATAATAATAAAAGTAATAATAATAATAATAATAATAATAATAATTCATTCATTCATTCATTTTCTTTTCCGCTGAGTCAATATAATAATGTCCTTCCAGACGCAACCTATCTCTGGGAAAATAATGATAATAATAAAAATAATATGGTTATTAATAATAATAATAATAATATAAAAATTATAATAATAATAAAATTCATATTATTATTATTATTATTATTAATAATAATAATAATTATAAGAGTAATAAAAATTATAATATAATAATAAATAAAAATAATATAATCAATTATAATAATAATATAATATGGTTAATAATAATAATTATTATTATGATTATTATTATTATTATTATAGTATTAATAATAATAATAATAATAATAATAATAATAATAATAATAATAATAATAATAATAATAATAATAATAAAGTTAATAATAAAGTCCCAGTAATGGGCCAGTGATGAAAGGGCATCCACTGAGTAAAACATGAGCTGGATAAGTTGGCAGTTCATTCCGCTGTGGCGACCCCAGATTAACAAAGGGACTAAGCCGACAAGAAAATGAATGAATGAACAATAATATAGTTAATAGTAATAAAAATAACAATAAAAATAACAATAATAATAATAATAATAACAATAATAATAATAATACACTTGGCTGTAAGTTCATGCAGATGTGATCTATAATGTGCACTGGGGAGAGAATCCATATATTTTAAGAACTATTCCTTTAAATGCTTCCACCCACTCATGAATACTCCATAACCCATGCAAGTGTGTGTGTGTGTGTGTGTGTGTGTGTGTGAGAGTGTTTCAGATGTCTATTTTTAGCCTCTGCAGTATAAAGGCACGGATGGCAGCGGTGCAGGGGCTCTGTGGATCTCTTCATTTGATTGAGCTTCATTCTGTGTGCTGAGAGTGTGTGTGTGTGTGTGTGTGAGACAGAGAGTGTGAGAGCTGTCCGTGGTGCTGAAGCACAGACAGAGGCGTTAGATAACAGCTCGTGACTACAGATCAGACACACCAGTACTGCAACACCGCTCACACACTCTGCTACATACTCTCTCTCTCTCTGTCTCTCTCACTGACTCACTCACATACACACACACTCGTACATACATGCACACACTCTCTTACTATGCATTCTATGTACAGTGTACTATATGTCACTAGATCTCAGTGGGGCCAGCAGGGGGCGCTCAACCTGCAGTCTGTGTGAGTCCTAATGCCCCAGTATAGTGAAGGGGACACTAATCTGCTCACTGAGGGCCGTCTGCTCTCCACTCCACCAATAGCTGGTGTGTGGTGAGCGCACTGGCGCCGTCGTCCTGTGGCTGGTAGTGGATGCTGCACACTGGTGTTGGTGCGGGGAGACCCCCCTCATTATTGCGAAGCGCTTTGGGTGTATGGCCATACACAATAAATGTATTTATCGTATTGAATCATGAGTGAGGTGAATCGTTACATCCTTACACACCACATTACATTACATTTTGCACTGTTCGAATGTTGCTAGTCTGTGCTAAAAGGCTTTTGCTGTTTAAATAAGCATTAATTAAAACATCATTCTTTCATAACTCTCATTAATTAATTGTGTTTTATGAGCTCTGCTGCATTAACAAAGCGAGTACATGAAATTAATTAGTCACAGGGCCGGATGAAGCAGGATTTGGTCAAACATATTTGCCTCAGCTTTAGCTTACAGTGTCTCTAACTACTTAAACACAAAACATTTACATTCATCCATTCATTCGTTTTCCTTCGGCTTAGGCCATGTCTACACTAATCCGGATAAATTTGACGCTTCACGTCCACACTGTCGTTTCTATTCGTTTTCCAAAACTTTGTCATCCACACTGAAACGACTACCAATGCTTTCAACCTGTACTGCGCATGCGTGAAACGTAAGACGCTTCGTCACGCGTCATTTCCGCCTGACGTTTATTTTCTTTCCGGCTCTTTGAAACGTTGCGGCAAAATGTCACGGAAAATCACAGAGTTTTTTAAATGGACTGACAATGAAGTAGAGTTGCTGCTTCGAGTAACACATGAATACAGTCGCGTAGCGCAAAATGCGGAGGCCGGCCTGCAGAGATCACTGACGGGGCCCCCTGATATATTGGTGACGCGATCACAAATTAAGGAGCGATCACAAATTAAGGAGCGGGGAAGGCAGGCGGGGTGAAGCGACAACGCGGGGAAGCCTTCACAAACTGAGGAGCGATCACAAACCGAAAGCGGCGAGAGCGTCAAAGTAGCCAGAAGTCATTCATTTTCAATGAAATCCGGCGGCGAGAAACAGCACACCGCGTCTTCTCCGGTGTGTGAGCGTCAAGGAGAGATCAAATCAAGTCAACTTTGAGCTACGATATGACGCGGTCCGGCGGCAAGCAATCAGAATAAAGCAGTCCACCGCTTGAGAGGTGTTCAGAGAACACAGACCTGTGAACTTTGGTTCCGACCACAGTTGTTCCCAAGAGTTTGATTATTGCGGTTGCTGGATTTTCAACTATTGAAAATCGTGACGATGCGGGGCCCCCTAATCACGCGGGGCCCCCCCGCGGTGCGTGCCCTGCGGGCCCATCCGCTACGCCACTGCATGAATACAAAGTTGCAAAAGAGAGTGAAAATGTAGACTGGGAGACGTGCCAAAACAAATACGCTGATATACTGGACCGCTTTAAAGAACAGTATCCTGCTGATGACGCTGCTTACCCTCACAGTAAGGACGACATCACTAAAATCATAATCACAACGAAAATAAAGTAAACGAATTAGTAACATGAGTGTCACATGACAAAAAACGCGTCATCGTTTTCGAAAGACTCCGTTTTCACAGTCTACACTACGACACGAAAAAGGCGTTTTCAAATTTATCCACTTTTGAGAGCGTTTTCAAAAAGAAACGTTTTTGTTTCCTAAAAACGCGTCTCAGTGTGAATGGAAGGGCAAAACGGAGACAAAAATATTAGTGTGGACATGGCCTTAGTCCCTTTATTCATCAGGGGGTCGCAACAGCGGAATGAACCGCCAACTATTCCAGCATATATTTCATGCAGCGGATGCCATTCCAGCTGCAACCCATAACTGGGAAACAATCATACACACTCGTTCACACACACACTCATACACTATGGCCAGTTTAGTTCATCAATTCCCCTATAGCGCATGTGTTTGGACTGTGGGGGAAACCGAAGCACCCGGAGAAAGCCCACGCCAACACGGGGAGAACATGCAAACTCCACCCAAAACCATTTCATGTCACACAATTTCTGAAAACCTCTCCCTCAAATTGCAAACCTACTGCTGGATCATCTGTTGA